TGGTGCGCTCTTCTTTGAGTTACGCCTTCACTTGACCAACACGTTTAGGAGCTGGGATTGCAAAAGAGAAAACAGAATCCCTACCCTGGAGGGAGTTGTCCCGGGAAGTCTAGGGAGGAATTTATAACTGAAACAGAGCTCCTTTAAGCAAAGTAAAGGAAACGAAAACCAAGGAAAGAAAGCCATCCTCTACATGGGCCGTTGACGTTCAGCAGGTCGGAGAGGAGACGGGCTAGCAGTGCTGAAGGTTAGTAAGTGAGGGAGGGCGAGGGAAGATGAAGTTGAACGAGTAGGCAATGGCCAGGTCACACCGGGCTATGTGATTTGGGTTTAAACAGCAGTGGGTGCCATTAAAGGATTTCATTAGCTGACCTGTAAACTCCTGAAAGAATGAGCTACAGTGTGCGGTGGAGGTTTTTATGGTACTAAGATAGTCTAGGCTTCCCTGGTGGCTCAGACTGTAAAGAATCCGCCTGCAATGTGGGGGACCTGGGTTCGATCCCTGGGGCGGGAAGACCCTCCTGGAGAAGGGCATTGCAACCCACTGAGTATGCTTGCCTGGAGAATCCCATGGACAGAGGAGCCTGGCGGGCTACAGCCCATGGAATCCCAAGAGTCTCAGAGACGACTGAGCACACGAGATAAGTCTGATTTCTTTATTGCTAGTTCTGGTACATAGAGCCTCTTTCAAAGAATTGATGTTATCTCTCCTTGTGCTGACCTTCTTAGTTAATGTTTTATTTTAAGGAGAAACCACAAAAGACTACCCAGGGGAAAGAAAGTATCATTTCATGGGAAGTCTGCTAGAAAGAGGAATGAAGCCAAACCTCCTGACTCTAACTCTCTTTGGGGTCTCCCCAGCAGATTTAATTTACTCATCCCATGTATGCTGGAGGTTTCTAACCCTGGTCTTCTAACCCAGACCTTTGCTGCTTTCAGTTCAGATATGCCCTACTCACCTGGCAACATCCACCTGTGTGTCCTCAGACCAGAATGTCCAAAAGTGATTCATTTTTCTTCCCCTGCCCCCCAACCACCAAACCTTTTCTGCTGCCCCTGCTCTTTCATTTTGGATGCTAGTTCCCCTCCCCACCCAGACTCTAGCTTGCCTCCTCTCCCCCACCCTGCATCCAGTGTCCTCTGGTCTCAGCTGTCTCACTTCCTGAACTACTCTCCCCTGCCTGGAGGCCCCCATCTCATCTAGACTTCGGTGGTTGCTTGCTTCCTCACTCATCTGAACTCCAGTTGCCCCCGGTGAACCCCTGCTCTGGAACCAGCCTGGCTCATCTTCTTAAAACAGCTGGACACGTCAGAATCCCAGGTCTGCGGACCACGGTCTGTCCTCCCTTTCTCTCCATACCTCAGCCCCTCTTCCCCATGTGACTGCTCCACACTGGTTCCTGGTGTTCAGTACACTGATTCTCACCTCTGCCTTCATGTCTCCCGTTCTCTGAAAAGATCCCCACCTTTCTCCGACTCCCAGCACTCAGTTCAGCATCACTTGCTTGAAAATGCCTTCTGTCTCACCTCACCCTGCCCCGCAAGGATCCCGGGATACCCTATGTGTCTCTGTTGTGGCACTTAGCTGCCCTGCTTCTTAATTATCAGTCAATGTGTCACTGTCTCCCCAAAACACTGTAAACTTCCATCTGTTTTCCTAGCTGGAAGTGGGCGCGCATCCAGACACGCGAGGGCCGGCCTGTGTACAGAGCAGAAGAAGAACCAGATGCAGCGCCTACGGGCTGAGGCGACCAGACAGAGCCTGGTGTTCAAACCCCTTTGGTGAACAGGCTTGGGGCCTGAAACATCGGAGTGGTCCCAGGGCAGGATGCCCAGGGGGCGTGCAGCGTCCGGGGTGTGGTCTGAGTTACTTGTCCCGTGCTCCTCACAGCGCAGGGAGTGTAGCAGGCCTTCAGGAAAGTGACAGTAAAGTGCACGTCTAGACGGGGGTGGGACAGAATGGACGTGGTCTCTGCCACAGCTGTGCCTGTCGGAATAGAAACACACTTTCGGAAATAACTTGGCCTGACGGTGGAACCTCACTGATCCGGTCAATTGTGTCTCGTCTCAGGCATAGAAAAGAGTCTGAGATGTTACTCTACTGTCCATTAGCAACTTAGTTTGAAAACAAATTGAAAATCTTTATAGAGCTTGAAGCAACTAAGTGTTGCTGTACCACTTTAAGTGTTGATCATTCACAGCCACGGAATAACTGTAGTTTTGCTCACAAGGGCTCACTTGTCCATGTTCACTCACTCGTGTGTTCTGCACACCTGGGGGGTGCCCACTGGAGGTGTGCTGTTGCTGTTTGGGGCACGGCTTTTGGCTCTGGGAATGCAGCTGTGAACAGAATAAATACCTTTGCCTCTTTTTATCTGCAACTCTCAGCCTTCAGGGCTTCCGTTGTGGCTCAGCTGGTGAAGAATCCACCTGCAGTGCAGGAGACCTGGGTTCAATCTGTGGGTTGGGAAGATCCTCTGGAGAAGGGGAAGACTACCTACTCCAGTATTCTGGCCTGGAGAATTCCATGGACTGTATAGTCCACGGGGTCACAAAGAGGTGGACTCGACTGAGCAACTTTCACTTTCACTCAGCATTTAATCTCTAAGAGTAGGATACATTTTAAAATCAATGTGTGATAGTTTGATTGCATTCCTGCTCTCTCTTTTGGTGGCACGTAAAATAACAGTGCATCTTGTGGTTCCTGGTGTCTTAGAGTCAGTGGCAGTGATGAGGGAATCAGTACATCTTCACACTGGCAGGGTTGGGGTCTCTCGACCCAGAACTTAATAGAATGACTGGAGCTGAGGTTATTTCCACACAGATGTGGGGTCGAGTGTTATTAACTGGAGCTGAGGCTGTTCCCACACAGGTGTGGGTCGAGAGTTAGGGGCTCAACAGGCTCCTGGGCTGATCTCCCCATGTGAGAGGAGCTGTTGGATTTTCTGTGTCCAAGTCTCACTTTGATGTTAATCTCATTCATTTTGAAGTAACTAAACCGGTATCGTTGTTAGAAACATGGTTGCATTAAGTTTAAGAAGCTCAACCGCAAGAAGAAGATACCAGTCCAGAAGCAGCTGTGGGATGAGTCTGCTTTTAAAATCAACCTGTGACAGTTTGTGTGTGGGTGATGAACAAGCGTCACACCTCACATAAGGAGGGTGTGTTGTCCTTCACCTGCAGAGCACAAAGACACGTCAGACGGCACGCACTGTTTGGCTTTAAGGACTTCAGAGAGCGGTGTCTTGTTTTTCCCAGTTAGGTTCCTGAGTGAAGACAGGGACCTCTCTGCCTGTACTGGGAACAGGTGTTTCTAAAGGGATCTGTGCCTTCTAGGCTGTGGTGGAGGGTGTGGGACAGCAGTGTGTGACCGCCACATGCCTCTCACTTGTGCACTCAGTCTTGACCCCGAGTGTGAGCCTCCTGTGTGTCACGGGCCTTTCCAGTGGGGCCCAACCGGTAAGGAGCGGCCCGGGCCTGACCAGCGCTTTGTCCCCCTGACCTTGGTCACTTCACTAGGATGGAAGTCAGAACCTGTTTTCTCTCGCGACTTCCTTTCCCGCCCGCGCTCCGGGGTCTGCTCTCCCCAGTCACTCTGTGGAGATCTCTCGTTTTCCCTCGCTGAGGTCTCTAGCGCGTCCTTGCCAGCACAGGTGGGTTACCGGAGGTGCTAGCTGCCCCCCATGATCTCTGAGCAGCGGCTGACACGCTGCTCTCTTGGAGAAAGCACCCGGAGAGGAGTGCACACTGCCCTTTTTAAGTGAAAAGGCTTCTGAGCCTCGTGCACACACAGCAGTGTGTTTCTGCGTCACACATGAGTGTTGCAAAACCGTGCACAAGAAAGATGCCACCAGACCGGGAGCAGGGGCCCTCTGGGAGGGGACTGGTTTCAGGAGGCCAATAAGGACTCTCTAGTGTGTGCTTTGATAAGAGTGTCTGATTTTTCTTGCAGTAGAAATGTGTTCTTACTGCTTAGGATTCTTTTTCAGTAGAAACCTGACAGAATGTCCAGGCCCCGCTAGTTTTCAGGGGAGAAACCAAATCTCAGCTTCGTGCTGGGGCTCTGCTGTCTCCAGAGCCCTGCTCCTCCCCAGACAGCTCTGTGCCCCCAGGCTCTCCCGTCCTAGACAGGCTCCCGGGCATGTGGCCGGCTCCAGACTTCATCTTCTCTTCAGGTCTCCTGGGAGAGAAGGAAGTGCTTCCTGAGACCCACGAGAGGGGGTCTTCTGTTCATTCTCACACCAGCTCCCTGCCCCCGGGACTCCTGCCTTCCTCCCAGACCCTGCCTTGAAAGGGGGCAGCTCTGGAGAGGGTGAGACAGTGAAACTGCTGAGCGGAAACAAGGATGCCCAGTCCCAAGCTTTGTGTAGGAACTGGTGTCGTTTAAGTCCTATTTCATCAGTGTTTGTGCCTTTCAAGTTTCATTATGATGAGTTTTCTAAACAGTAAAAGAAAAGAAAGAAAACAGCCCATGACAACATTTTCATTTTGATACTCTCAATGCCGTTCTTTTTTCCCTTCTTTTAAGGAATATTTCAAATGTATCATTTCAAATGCAAGTACTTTGCTTCAGTATTTATTAATTACCAGGCCAGGTCATCTGATCGGCCCACTTCCTCCTTCCCACGAGATTCTTGGGAAGCAAACCCCTGGTGTCTCATTGCACCTCCTGATACCTGAGTGTGTACCTCTGAGATAAGGACCCTGCTAACGTAACCACATTGTCACACCTTTAGGAAATTTTTCCTTAATATGAAATATCAATCTTGTGCATTCCCATCATTTCATACACTCTTTATGACAAGTCAGAATCCACGTGAGACCCACCGATAGTGTTTGGTTGTCGTGTCTACAGCGACTCTTCAATTCTAACAGTTCTTATCCGGCTTTTCTTTTCCTTGCACTTATTCGTTGGAAGAACTGGGTCGTTTGTCCTCTGGAGACCCCAACATTTGGGGTTTTGCTGACTGCATCCCATGGTCTCATTTAATTTGTTTTTCTGTCTCCTATAGTTCCTGTAAACTGGTATTAAAAGTTAACATTTGAAGCAGAGTAGGTTCAGTTTTTTGTTTTTGTGAGAATACTTACCAAGCAGTTTTGTGTTCTTCCTGCTGCATCACTTGGGGCATCCAATGGGCTTGGTGGTGTTGGTCTGACGCATGCACTGTGAAACCCATGACTAGCCTTTTATCTGCTGTTTCAGTGCCATTGATGACCCTGCCCAGATAGAGCCATGTTTCATTAGTCTGAACATGGTTGAATGTAAACACAGGAGACCATGCCAGAGGTGCTGCAGTTGTGACTAAGTCGGTGTGCTCTGGTGGAACCCACCACTCACATGTAGTGTCCTCAGTGGGAAGAGCCCCAGGTGTGTCTTATTTGTAACAGGCAGGTGAAGGAAAACCAGTTTGCCTGACCCCTAAAGGAAAGGCACTTTAATAAGCCAATTTCACTATAGTTTCTGGCAAATGAGAGCCTATCTCAAAGATTCAAAATGCACCGTGATGAAATTGTTGGCATGGGAAAGGTCTTTAGTAACTTGGAGATCAGTACCTTATACAGCTCTTCAGCTTCCTCCGAATGAAATAAGTAAAGCTCATTCTGTCAGAAGGGATCTCTTCATCACTCTGAACTAATCCTGTGGAGTCCTGAGATCACACTGATTCTAAATACATACTTGTTTACATTCACTGCATCTGTCCTTTGCTGCACCACAGGGTTCTTCCCAGGACCTTCTAGTGAAGGATTATAAAGACCGCTGTAACAGGCATCAAGCTTGAGGGTTCTGTCTGTCCTCCGCAGGCTTGGAGACTGCAGGAATGTGCCCTTACCTGATCTCGTGAGTCCTTAGGTTACTCCACAGTCGTTTGGTGATGCCTAGGGTCAACCCACGGAGAAGGCAATGGCATCCCACTCCAGTACTCTTGCCTGGAAAATCCCATGGACGGAGGAGCCTGGTGGGCTGCAGTGCATGAGGTCGCTAAGAGTCAGACGTGACTAAGCGACTTCACTTTCACTTTTCACTTTCATGCACTGGAGAAGGAAATGGCAACCCACTCCAGTGTTCTTGCCTGGAGAATTCCAGGGATGGGGGAGCCTGGTGGGCTGCCATCTATGGGGTTGCACAGAGTCGGACACAACTGAAGTGACTTAGCAGCAGTAGCAGCAGCAGGGTCGACCCAGGAAGTCTTGTGTACAACTTGTGGCTTGGCCGTAGGGGTTTCAGGCGGAAAGGAGGGCTGGAATAGTGAGAACAAGTCTGACCTGGATGATGCCACCTAAAACTGCACATGCCTGGTAGGTAAAAACTATAACCGGGAAAGAAGGGGTCAAGGTCCAGCCCAGTGAAGATCCCAAAAAAGTCACCTTTGCAGATATATCCCAAAGCCTGGCCTGTTCCCCTGCGACGGTTGTAGGGACTTGGGCGGACCATCTGCAGGATTTTCGGCTTAGCTTGGCCAGACCAGTGAGAATGGTGGTGTGGGGGCGGGGGGGAGGAGGTACTAATTCCAGGCAGAGGACCACTTGAGGGAACTCCTAAATGACTCCTGAACTAAATTAGTTAATTTTGTGTATGGATGACGTTTGCTTTCCTATGCTACTGAGATCATGAGAACACTACCACCGCCGCCCTGCCCCATAGCTGACAAAACTAAAGCATTTATGTGTTTGTTTTGTAACAGCAAGAAAATGTATGCTTCGAATAAAAAAGACATTTGCAAGTAAAAGAGTGAAAACATGCATAGTATTATTCTCACTGCTTCTGTGGCAGCTCTAAACTTACGGAGGAAACGTGCAGACTCTGAAATAGGACTTTTCTGGTCTTTTGCCTTCTAGGGGGTTTCAGCCAAGAAGAACTTCTAAAAATCTGGAAAGGGCTGTTCTATTGCATGTGGGTGCAGGATGAACCTCTTCTGCAGGTAACCTACAGTTCCCTGTGTCATGTTGCTGGACTCGGGGCACCAGTGACTGAGAGACCTGCCTGCTTTATGCTGTATCCATCCCTGATGTGCGGAAACAGATGGAAAACCATTGCTTCAAGGGTTCACTTTCCCACCGCTTGTCCATAGAGAAAGGGATGCAAGCATTGAGGTGAAGTCTTTTTAAAGACTAACGAAGACACATAAATTAGATTTATTTATTATTTCTCTGTCACAGTTTCATAGGTTCCATGGTAGGTTTTACATTATAAAGCTTCTGTTTCCTCCTTTATTAGTTGTGGTCAGAAATAGCATGACACTACCCAGCTCTGGGCCCAGCTCTGCCACAGTTAAGTGGGTGCCGGGGGCAGAGTCTTTGCAGAATGAGCAGTGGTCCTGGAGCTAATGGTCTCATCACAAAGGCAGTGGAGACCTGCCCAGGTGTGCGCACTCACCTGGGCCCCTGTCTGCCAAGCACACCAAGCCCTGCCGCCAGAGCCATCAAAGAAAGTGGTTTAGGCTCTTGAAGAGCTTTTTTCTGGCGTTTGAAAGCAGGCCTGTCTTTGTAGCAGGAGAAGGTCAGCTTTGGGGGCACTGAAGCCCCTGATGTACAAAATGCCAGGGTAGGTTTTTACTTGTCTGGCTTTTACCTGCAGCTGTGCCGCTTCCCTGAGCCCTGTGGTGACTCACTTTGATTTCCTGCCTTTACTCCACTGAACATGTTTTGAGTAGGACAGCAGAGCAAAGTATTTTTAAGTTACATTCAAAGTGACAACCAACAGCTTTAGTGGAGGAAGGAAACAGATGAATGGGAACATCACTTTCAAGTCCGGGGTTCATTTAACATGGGTGAGAAAGACTTGAGTTCAGGTGAAGGCCCCATGATAGCGGTGAGGATTAGTCTTCTGTGGACACTCCCGGAGGCAGGTTTCTTCATAGACCCAGAGCCCGAGTTCTCCCCTAGACAAGCTTGTGCACCTCAGCGGGATGGTTGCTTTGCTTTCTGCCTCCTTGCCCCTGCAGCCTGTCTGCCAGCAAGCAAGTGGGAGCCACATGGAGTGACAATCCCGGTATCTCACTGCCAGCGATGCCCCCTCGTCACAGTTGGCATTTGTGTTTCCATTATTTGGGGGGATTCAGATGGAATCTCAACCCAAGTTATATGTTGAAAGCCAGGAGTTGAGAGCTGACGTTTCTTGTGTGGGTCAGTTGAACTCACCCTAGGGATAATGTGTGTGAGCGCACACCTAGCTCTGAAGGCATGTTGAATTGGCAGTAGTCCGTTGAAACTGGGAATTTCACCTGTGAGGCAATCCAGGTGTTCAGATACACTCTTTTTAGTGGAGGTGACAGTGAGAAGGGAGGGGATGACCCCCTCCCACAGGCCGTGATGCTGTCCTCTCATGGTTCCACGTAATAACCCCGCTGTTTTTCCCCAACCCCACTTTGCAGGAGGAGCTAGCGAACACTATTTCCCAACTCATCCATGTTGTTAACAACTCAGAGGCTCGTAAGTCCTGATATTTTCGTGACTTTCAAAACTTACTCTTCAGATTTGGTAACTTGCCTAAGAAACCTACTCAATGTCGTTTCTTCTCCTTCCTTCAAAGTTTCCATTTTCCGGGGGGCTAGCGTCACATGAGCCTGGGCAGCTGGAGTGTGAATGTCAGGTGACAGACCGTCCCATGGGGAACCTGTGTCAGGCTTAGATACTGACACAGTGAGAGGGTGAATGAAGGCGGTGTCCTGGGGGACATCACTTTCAGCATCTCAGAGGTTTCAGAAGAGTCTTAAAAAATAGCAGTCCTCCAGAGTTCCCACATTCTGAGTGAGTTTAACGCTCTCAGAAGCTGCGTGTGACTCTGCTGGTGACCGCGGCTACCTCTGGACGCTGGTGGTTCTCCTTGGGACTAGAGCCATTTCAGGTCATCACTGGTAACAAACTGTAAAGTAACCCCTCTTGACCGAAACGAATTAACAAAGGGAGAAATTAATTATTAATAGTTCTAAGACATTCAGCTTTGCTTACTTACAGAAGCAGAGAAGGCAGAACTCACTGCTTTTGCCTAGCCCTCCTCAGAACAGAACCATCCAATGGCCTCGTTAACTCTCAGTGATTCTTTGGATTTTAGCAGGCTCCCAGATGACTTAAGGATCAAAATTCTGTACATAGAATATACTGTAGCTTTCCATATATGAAGAGAGGATTGTGCAAAAGGAAGTAAAGCAAAAAACAAACTATTTGGGGATAAAAAGTGCTGGTTTCATGGCTCAGAAGAGAAAAATAGTGTTTTGTTAAAGTTCACTCTGCTGACACTGAACATGAAAACAGAAAGGCTGACACTCTGCATAGTTCCCCCAGGTGTTCATCAGATGGATGGCTTAGGACTGATTGTTAAGTGTATTTGGGCAAGAAGGGCCAGTATCTGTGGCTCAGGACATCTTTTGATTTTTAACAGAATCATGGCTTTACGATGGATAACGAAACATGCTCTAGAGAGCTTTCTAGTCAAACATTAAGATATTCCCAGACTTCTTGTTAAAATAAGCTTTTATTTAATATAAAAAATTATCAAGCATACTTAGTTACCAACCAGACTTTCTAGCTGCCCAAGAATCCTTGAGAAATCCTAGTCTGTTTCTCTTCATGAACTTTCTCGCTCTGTGGTGACCCGGCACCCTGCGAACAGAGCGTTCAGAGCCCCTTGTTCCCTGCAGAGCACCTGTTCATCCAGACCTTCTGGCAGACCGTGAATCGCGAGTGGCCTGGCATCGATGGGCTCCGCCTGGACAAATTCCACATGGTGAGGGTGGGGCCACAGCCCCTTACCCAGAGCTCCAGGTGGGGGAGGCGGCTGTGCGGTGCATGGTCAGGTGACCGACAGGGGGCACTAGAGGACGTGTTCAGAGGCATTGGCTTTGTCTCTTCCAGCTGTCAGAGTGTGTCTGGGGCACCTTCATTGACAGTGTTTGATCTAGAAGCTAACTGTTACTGTGGGAACTTTCCACTTTGAGGATCCAGGCTGTAGCTGTCGTTCTGCCAAGTTGATGGGTGTTTGTCACTTTCCCTTTGGTAACAACAGTTATCTGTCTCTAGCTGATCCGTCTGGTCCTGAGGCAGTCCTTTGAAGTTCTGAAGCGAAACGGCTGGGAAGAGAGGTTGGTGAACCCTCTGGGTTAGCATTTGAGGGCCTTAAAACTTTAAAGGCAATGGCGTGGTTTTCTAAGTGTTTCAGTTAATAAGTCTGAGTCATCTGATCCACGCCTTCCACTCCAAGTACCAGGAGCCCAGCGTCCTCATGCCTGAAGAACTTCAAATCCCGCAGAGCTGAGCACACACAACAGCACTTTGTACTCATTTCAGTGATTGTTGAATTTTCTCCATCGTGCGTTGCTTGTTTAGCAGTTGGGCACAAGAATGTCACGTTCTCTCTGGGGACGGAGAGGATGTTGGCAGCGGGGGTTGTAGAGCTGTGTGTGTTTTTCCTTTAGCCGTATCAAGCTTTTCCTCGACGTCTTGATGAAGGAGGTCCTGCATCCTGAGAGTCAGTCTCCAAACGGAGTGAAGTTCCACTTCATCAACATTTACCTGGACGAGCTGTCCAGGGTGGGCGGGAAGGAGGTAAGAAGGGCAGGCACCCTGCCACAGTGCAAGGGGCCAAAGCACCCCTGAAATGGTAGGGCCTGGGCGCTGCTCTGAGTGCTCCATGGGCTGGAGGTGAAAGGCTGCTAGCAGAGCCTGGGGTTACATTGGCCACAGCAGCACGGATGGGTCAGCCTGTCCTTTGCCATAGTTCTTCCTCATCTAGAGATGTGTCCTAAGCAGGCAGTGGGTCATGTGGACAAAGATGTGTGCACTAACAGTGTCCATGGAAGTCTGATAGCCAGAATCAAAACAACTTATACAGTCCACTGAAGAATTCTGTAACACAGGAGATATTCATGAGGTGGAGTTTTTAAAAAGTCAAGGGACTTCCCTGGCGGTCCAGTGGTTAGAAGTTCCACTGCAGCGGACACCAGTTCGCTTCCTGGTTGGGGAACTAAATTTCCAAAAGCTGCACTGTGTGAGATGGATAGATAGATAGCAGTATGGAGGACTGTCCAGTGGTTAGGACTCCTTGCTTCCACTTCAGGGAACATGGGTTTAATCCCTGGTCAGGGGACTGAGATCCCGCATGCCGTGTGGCCTGGCCAAAAAAAAAAATAGGGGTAAAAAGGGGTAGACAGAGCTGCACAGATGGAAGGTCTTGTTTAAGACACAGGCTGGGGAGGGAATGACGGTTTCAGCAAGCCAGGGATTGTCTGAACTGGGGATGAGGAGCAGTGATGTACTTTTTTCTTTCACAAGTGTCTGCAATGAACATGTGTTTGTTTTTTGTTCGTTTCATAATTAAAAGAAAATGTATGTTGTTTTTTAAATCCTTCACCTCAGTGTCTGGGAGTGTCCTGTCTCCGTGGAGGAGGGAGTCTCTGTTGGGAATGTAGGGCGGAACGGTGCCTTTCGGGGTGGGCAGTCCTTTCCGGCCACTGTGCTGGGATGCTTGGGTGACTGGACGGTGGCCATGACCTTTAGCAGAGTGCGTTTTGGGCATTGTGAGAGATGTGTTGGTCTGATTCAACCTGTCTGAAACACACAAATGGTTCTTTTTTCAAGGACACCTCTGAAAGGCTCTTTTTTTTCCCCCTCATTTTTTTTCCTTTGTTACAGCTTTTGGCAGATCAGAATCTCAAGTTTATTGATCCATTCTGCAAGATCGCTGCCAAGAGTAGGGAGTAAGTGATTCATGTGTTTCTTTTACCACTTCAGTTGGTATTTCTTTATGGGGGCTGGTGGTAAAATTGTAGGTGAAATATGATGCACGGGTCAGCCAGTGCTCAGAAGCACCAAGTTCTAACTCCCGTCAGCTCTGAGTCCTGGCGGGCGCTCCCAGCTGTGTTCCCAGGGGCTCCACGAATCTCCCCCTCCCCGCACCCCTCCTGCACCCGGGTTCCTTCTGTCCCGGGTCCCACCTCTCCATCACACAGCGCTTAGCATTAATGGCCCCTCATGGCTGCAGCGGATCAGCACAGGGTATAACTAGAAATGCAGTGCTAGTCCATGGGTCCTTGGTGGGCTGGACTGGGCAAGCCGTGGCGTTCTCTGCCTCTCACCCCGCTGCGCTCCTTGAGGGAACAGAGTCCAGGCCATCCGTTAACCATGCTCTCTCTGTTGTGCTTCCGCCCTCAGCCAGACTTTGGTACAGACTATAGGTAGGGGTGTTTTTGAAGTCATTGTAGATCAGTCTCCTTTTGTACCTGAAGAGACAGTCAAGGAACAGAAAACACAAGTGAGTGGCAGCAACCTCTCAGAGGAAGAGACATCTGAAAACGAGATGATGTGGAGAAAAGCAGTCAGGAAAAAGAAAGCAGGTGAGAAAATTTACTTGAAGGGTCTTTCCTAGGTGAAATTCACGTCAAAGGAACAGTTTGCAGTGCATTTGTTGGCAGCTCACTGACTGCCACCTGGAGTTCACCAGAGGGGCCTCTGCCGTGAGCACCACCCATGGAGGAAAGCAGGGCTGTGTTAAGATGCCTCCACGGTCCAGAGCCTGGTCACCCCGGGCGTACACATACACATACACACTTTCCTGCATCTCCCAGGTCGCGGGGCTTTCTTCCAGGGTTTCATCATTTCCATTGCTATTGTTTTGGGTTCTGTGTGTTTCTTGATGTTGCAGCTTTTAAAAAAAAAATCCTAATGTGGCCTCATGCCTGTTGAAGGGTCCCTGGTCGGAGACCCGATTTACAGATGTGTTGGGAATGCAATCTTGTGTCTGTAGCTCTCCTCTCTGTCTCTGCCTTCTTCCAGGATTCTTTTTCTTAGGGCGTGTAAACACCCACCATGGACGCACCTCGCTCTCAGCACTGTTTAATGTCCGTGGGACTCACATGGGGCATTTAAATTGCAGCCTCATCAGAATTTCCTGTGGTTTATAGCATCTCAGTGCCTTGGCGGTAGGTGAAGGGCTAGTTCAGGGTGTACCCATGCCTTTGAAATGTTCTGGAGTCATTAAAAAGGAAAGTTTTCAAAAATTAACAGCCAGGGAAAATTTTTTATAGCAAGACATAAAAACCTAGACAACATTAAAAAAAAAAAAACCTAGACAACATTTTTAAAAAGCAGAGGTATCACTTTGCTTACCGAAGTCCATATAGTCAAAGTTACGGTTTTTCCGGTAGTCATGTGCGGATGTGAGAGTAGAACCATAAAGAAGGCTGAGCACCAAAGAACTGTTGCTTTCAAGTTGTGCTGGAGAAGACTCTTAACAGTCCCTTGTACTGGCAAGGAGATCAAACAAGTCAATCCTAAAGGAAATCAACCCTGAATATTCATTGGAAGGACTGGTGCTGAATCACCAATACTTGGGCCACCTGATGCAAAGAACTGACTCACTGGAAAAAACCCTGATGCTGGGAATAATTGAATGCATGAGGAGAAGTGGAGAGCAGCAGAGGATGAGATGGTTGGGTGGCATCACTGACTCAGTGGACATGAATTTGAACAAACTCCCAGAAATAGTGAAAGATAGGGAGGCCTGTCATGCTGCAGTCCACAGGGTCGCCAAGAGTTGACACAGCTTAGTGCTTCAACAATAACAAGAATCCTCTGTGGGAAGTGCCTGGTTTATGTTTAGACATAGATGTATGTATGTATCTGGAAGCGTATGTAAGGTGGTAGGAGCTGGCCTGCACAGCAAAATTGTACATGATCTCTTATTTTCCTTTGTGCTTTTGTCTGTTTTTCTAAATCCTCTACAATGATGTTATTTTATTTTTTAGTCAGGAAAGAAGTCTTTAAGAAAGAAAAGATATTGTCATTTTAAATTCACTGTGGGCTTCAACATAGTGCTTGAACAGCCCCAAGCACGTTTTGTGTTGTCTCTGGACCTCTCCTGCTGCCAGTTTCTGTCTGAACCAGAGTGCCCCCCTTCCCGAAGCGCCTTCCAAGATTTCCTCCCAGGTTCTCCATCAAATGCTTGGGGGACCTGCCCAGTCTTTTGCCTGAGGCCACACCACTCACAAGCTAAGAGCGTGCCAGAGACAGGACACCTGTGAGGGCTTGTGAGATCTCAGTAGCAGCGCGCATCTGCTTCTCCATGGCTGTGATGCCCTGTGTTATTTAGTACACGTCGACAGTCACGTTAGCTGTACTTGTTGGTTATCCATTTTGTTTTGTGTTTTAATATAATCTATTTTTTGACTGTGCTGGGTCTTCATTGACCAAAGAACTGTTGCTTTCAAGTTGTGCTGGAGAAGACTCTTAACAGTCCCTTGTACTGGCAAGGAGATCAAACAAGTCAATCCTAAAGGAAATCAACCCTGAATATTCATTGGAAGGACTGGTGCTGAATCACCAATACTTGGGCCACGTGATGCAAAGAACTGACTCACTGGAAAAAACCCTGATGCTGGGAATAATTGAATGCATGAGGAGAAGTGGAGAGCAGCAGAGGATGAGATGGTTGGGTGGCATCACTGACTCAGTGGACATGAATTTGAACAAACTCCCAGAAATAGTGAAAGATAGGGAGGCCTGTCATGCTGCAGTCCACAGGGTCGCCAAGAGTTGACACAGCTTAGTGCTTCAACAATAACAAGAATCCTCTGTGGGAAGTGCCTGGTTTATGTTTAGACATAGATGTATGTATGTATCTGGAAGCGTATGTAAGGTGGTAGGAGCTGGCCTGCACAGCAAAATTGTACATGATCTCTTATTTTCCTTTGTGCTTTTGTCTGTTTTTCTAAATCCTCTACAATGATGTTATTTTATTTTTTAGTCAGGAAAGAAGTCTTTAAGAAAGAAAAGATATTGTCATTTTAAATTCACTGTGGGCTTCAACATAGTGCTTGAACAGCCCCAAGCACGTTTTGTGTTGTCTCTGGACCTCTCCTGCTGCCAGTTTCTGTCTGAACCAGAGTGCCCCCCTTCCCGAAGCGCCTTCCAAGATTTCCTCCCAGGTTCTCCATCAAATGCTTGGGGGACCTGCCCAGTCTTTTGCCTGAGGCCACACCACTCACAAGCTAAGAGCGTGCCAGAGACAGGACACCTGTGAGGGCTTGTGAGATCTCAGTAGCAGCGCGCATCTGCTTCTCCATGGCTGTGATGCCCTGTGTTATTTAGTACACGTCGACAGTCACGTTAGCTGTACTTGTTGGTTATCCATTTTGTTTTGTGTTTTAATATAATCTATTTTTTGACTGTGCTGGGTCTTCATTGTTGCTCAGGCTTTGCTCTCGGTGCAGCAACTGGGGGCCTCTCTCTAGTTTCAGTGACAGGCTTCTCATTGCTGTGGCTTCCTTCCCTTGGTGCGGAGCATAGGCTCTAAGGCGTGCAGGCTTCAGCGGGTGTGGCATGTGGACTTAGTTGCGGCTTCCAGGCTTTAGAGCGCAGGCTCGGTATCAGTAGTTGTAGTGAACAGGCTTAGTTTCTCCCTGGTATGTGGGATCTTCCCGGGCCAGGGATCAAACCTGTGTCTCCTGCATTGGCAGGCAGATTCTTTACCACTGAACCACCTATCCATTTTAAATATAGCAGTGTGTACGTGTTGATCCCAAACTCCTAACTGTCCCTTTCCCCCAGTTCTTCTCCCCTGGCAGTCATGAGTTCTCCAAGCCTGTGAGTCTGTTTCTGATTTGTAGGTTTATTTGTGTCGTTTCTTTTTAGATTCTACATAGAAGGGATGTTATATGGTATTTCTCCTTCTCTGACTGACTGACTTCACTCTGTATGATCTCTGAGTCCGTCCATGTTGGTTTCTTTTTTTTAGTGGCTGAGTAATACTCCACTGTGTATATGTACCATCATCTTTATCAGCTCCTCTCTTGATGGACACTTAGTGGGGAGCAACGGGAGGAAGGAAGGAAGGACTTACTGTGCAGCACCGGGGACTCTGTTCAATGTTACGTGGCCCCTTGGATGGGAAGGGAGTTTGGGGAAGCATGGATATATGTGTATGTGTGGCTGAGTCCCTTTGCTGTCCACCAGAAACTATCACAACATCGTCAATTGGCTGTATCCCAATATAAAATAAAGTTTTAAAAAGTTGTGTTAGCATTAGGTCATTGTGTTTCCTGAGATGGCCCCTGGGGTGGCCCCTTGGAGCATTCACCACTGCCCCAGCTTTCCTGAAACGGGACAGACTCTGTCCACTCCTCCCACTGGCTCGAGCCCCTGGCCCACAGGTTTGCTGTCCACCTCACTGCAGTTCCTGGTGGGAGTTTTGTCTGTGAGGTAATTAAAAGGCAAAATGTACGAGTTCGTTGTTGTTTCTTTTTTTAACGTCTAGAGGTTGAAAATACCAAAAAGACACCTAATTGGACAGTGGCTCCTTTGGGGGCAGCCATGGCCATGTATCTGAATTGTGTCTGTGGATCTGTCTGTTGATAGCACTGGGCAAATATCACTCTGGAAAAGAGGAGTTCAGCCAGGAAGGTGGACAGGATGGCGGTGGAAGTGTGGAGGATACTGGGCCATTTCTCCAGGTTGGTAGCAGTTGTTTCTCTTTGTAGAAAGCTGCCTAACTAAAGGAGAATTAGGGTCAGAGATAATTAAACCACAGCCCTAATCTCTGGGTCACTGGTGTCACTTTTCTTATAATGAGCTTATTGGAGACAGATTTAAATACAATGGCATTTTGAAAGATGTCAGTCTTCATTTTGGCTTGAATAACTGAGATTTGTATTCTGTACAATTAGGCCAGCCCGATGGTACTTTTTCAATAAAGGGAGTTTACTGTGTTACCAAGTACAAATTGAACATCTCGATTAAATTTAGAGAACACAGCCCCCTAAATTTTCATGAAGAAGAGGTAAAACAAAGAATAGCTTCTACTTATTCCCCCAAGAATAAGTAGAAGAAGTTTTCAAAGGCAGTGGCTACTAGGCTTCTGGTGGGCAAGCTTTCGGCACAGTGTGTGGACGTCCTGCGGGAGTGCTCTGGGCTGCTGTCTCCAGTTGGCCTGATTCCGGGTCAGGCGGGGCTGTACTTCCAGCAGACGTGTAGTGTTTCTTCTCACCTAGTTTGACTACAAGGCAGTTGCTGACCGACTCCTAGAAATGACCAACAGGAAAAACGTCCCTCCCTTCAACAGGAAACGCCTCTCCGAGCTCATCAAGAAGTAAGTGACTGGGGAGGAAGGTTTCACCTGGCTGTCGTCCAAGTTCAAGCCCCGCCCTTCTGTTTCACTCCAGGCAGGAGCTATCACCCACTCATCTTGAGTGTTTCTGCCCTTCACCTTGCACACACGTTCACTGGTAGGTTCCATGGAGACAGCCGCTCTCGCCTCTCCATTCCACTCTGCCCATGCAGCTGCACTCACCCCCTAGCTATGTGGTAGAGATGGAGGAGGAGGTCTGTAGGTCAAGACGTGGCAGCAGGGGTCAAAGAGCAGCTCCGCTACCTCCTGCCCACCTCCCCGTGAGTGCGCCGGAAGCGTGGTTCTGTCACCTGTGTGACCACGAAGCCCCAGGGCTCATTGCAACTGATGATAGGTAACAGCTGAGCCCGACTGCGCTCTGTGAGCCGCCCTGTCCCAAGCACTTACACAGATTATATCACCTTCAGGAGGGCCCACAGGGCAGCTTCTGGAATTGCCCCGTTTGACAGATGAGGCAGTGGGGGTACAAGGAGGCAGCCCATCGCCTGGGCTTGCAGCTGCCGGACCTGGGGCTGGACTCGGCCTTTCTGCTCCCCAGCGCTGCCCCCGCCCGGCACACACCTCCACACTTACTTTTGTTCTAACTCAGCACAGTCACATAGAGCTGGCTGTCTCCACTCAGTAACAGAGCGACTGGAATGTAAGTAGAGGTGGAAGCTTCTCCGCCTCCAGTCTCGCTGGGATGTGCCAGGACAAAGCCTTAGATCTTCATGTCATGCGTGTGATACTTGGGGGCAGTTTTGTCCATCTCAGTAATGATTTTAAGGGAAAACAGATCTCTCTTACATCATAAAAGATTAGTGCATGTGTTTATGGGAGGCAGGAAGACATGGTTTCTTTAGGAGCCTTTGTTGTTTTCTTTTTCAGATTCCAAGATCTCTCTGAAGGTGAGGAAAATCAGAAGACTGTAATTGGTGATGTTCTCAGTGAACATGGGCACCCCCAAACTGGGCACCATTCTTCTTGTCGGGGTGGGGTTGGAGGTGAGGGGATTAACAGGAGAATTCCAGCTTGAGCCTTCCTGAAGAAGAACAGTCAATCTCAGAGTCCCTCTCCTTGGTATCAGTCAGCCTCCAGTCCCCCTGGGGTGGGGGAGGGGAACTGCTCCTTGGGAGCTGGGTTACATTTGAGCAGGTGGGTGTGTCTGCTGCCCCTGCCTCTTGTGCACTTGGGGTGCTTCGAATTGGGGGGCCCCACACATCTTGTTGAGATGTGGAGGTGGCACAGCTGAACCCCTGGGGGGTGAGCTCTAGAGACTGTCACCCTGGAACTACAGTCCCTGACCTCACCTCAACTGAGAAACCCACAAAGTGTAGTCTGTAATTCCTGCATCAGCAACTTTTCAGGTTGGGGTTGGAGAAGCAATAAGGGACTCGGCAAGAATCAGGGTTAAAATTACCCACATGGGGGTCAGAGCCGTGCTTGTCTCAGAAAGCTGACCAGACATGTCTTTGTGACCAGACGTTGTCTCTGGTGTCCGGCAGGCAGTCTCTCTCACCTCAGTCTTGCTGAGGATACCACTGCTGACGAAGATGACCAGACCCACAGTCAAGGAACACGTAAGAAGAAAGGGAATAAACTTTTGCAGAAGACAGACATGGCAGGAGGGAAAGGTGAGCCGCAAGCTCTCGGTCAGCACACGATGGGCCGGCGTGGCCCAGGGAGCACCTTTCATGTCCACACGGGTTGTCGCAGAGTGAAAGCCATCACTCTGAGAGGCTGAGACGCATAGAGAGCGTGTCTCCGGGTATTATGCTGTTTTCTGGGGGACCCTGCTCCAGCCTTGCTGAAGTGGAAGTGTAGCGGACTCCTGATGGCAGGAAGAGGGTGGGGATGTGGACGTCCTAGTGGACATTGCCCTTTAGGGCACTTGTTTTATTACCAGGTATGGGCCTGAAAATTAGTAGGAATCTGAATACTGTTTCAGATCCATTTACATCAAAATAGGCCTCAGGAAGGTTTCCAGACATGGTTGGGGAGGGCAAGAGATGGGCAAGTGAGAAAGCTTGTGGGATTTGAGGGCACAGAGAAGGACCTGGCGGGGACTGGCGACATGCTGTGGGTACCCCCAACCCTGGCAGGTCCCCTGAGCACCGGGCACTTGTTGATTGACTTGTGTCTGTAGGAACTAAGTTCTTCCCTGCCAAGGAAGAGGAGAGCGAAGGTGGCATTCCAAAGAAAAAGAGGAAAAAGAAGAAGAAGAACCAATTCCAGGCTGAATGCCCAGGGCCCAGTGGGGAAGCCACGAGCCGAGAACAGAATGGGAGCCAGGAGCCAGAGGCCAGTCCCAAAAGAGCCCCAGAGGCGAGTGGAGCTGAGCTGGGAATTTTGGCCATGCCCGACACCCGGGAGCAGAGCAGCTTGGAGCGCCCCTCCTTGCAGAGCAGGAGGAAGCGGCCCAGGAAGAGGAGCCCACGGATCCAGGTGGAGGGCCTGGAGTCAACAGCGTCGCCTCTGGAGGGGGTGGCCCCTCGAGTGGCCCCAGCCAGTGGTGCCCCGGTCCTGAAGAGGAGGCGGGAGCTGGGAGCCCTGCTGGTCAATGGCAGTGGCCCACCTGTGCTGGCCTGGCCCCCGCCCCAGAGGGAAGGGCCCCCAGCCAGCCCAGCAGACAGAGGGCACTGCCCCGCCACCCTGCCCCCGGGCGAGAAACTGAAGAAGAAGAGTGGGGGGCCCAGCGGCCTTGACCTCTACGACTCATGCGCTCAGAAAGCTGCCATTTTGAAAAAGAGGAAGAAAATGAAGGAGATGTCAAACTCGGTGGAGCCCAGAGGGATGAAGCTCATCCCAGCCCTGGTAAGGCAGAGGGGGGCTCCCAGACAGAAGTGTCAGGGCCCCACCTCCTCGGCCCCAAGGCAGGGGGCAGTCAGACCCTGGACCAGGAGCCGTCATGGCTCCTGACACCCTCTACCAAGTAGTAAACAGTGACCTGTCTCAGTGGCTTCCGGTGCCTCCCCTCCCACTCTCACCCCCTGTGATCAGAGGTGTGATGGGGCCAGCATTAGACTGGGGGATCGCCCCAATGGCCCAGCAGGCACTCCACCCATGGGGTAAACACGCAGGGTGACCCCGTCACGTGTGGAGCTCGTGTTCCTCCTACAGCTCCTGGCTAGTCCTGGGCTTCGTTGGCAGGAGAAGAAGCCCCAGACTCTTATCCCTGTTCTTTTTCACTAAGCTTTTCTCCCCTTGGATCTCTGGAGCAGATAGGAGCAGGGACCAGGCACTGGTCCCTGCAGCTCTCACCCTCCTCCCTGGACATGCGTGTGGCCGTGCCCATGGAGGGCTGCTTCCACTCCTCACAGAGGCAGTCCTCATGGCCTGTGGGGCTCGATGCATGACCCCTTGGGCCTACCAGGGCATTGTGCAGGGAGCCTGCAAGGACGCCAGGCCGCACGGTGCAGGACCCCCAGGGGTCAGTGGGAGGTCTGAGAGCGGGAAATGGGGCGTTCCGCTGGGATCCAGGAAGTCCGCTCTCACCTCACGCCTTCCCTGACACGGGGACAGCTGTGTCGCCTTCCCAGGGCCCTTCAGCCTCGGCCCCTCACCCACTGGTCACTGCTGCTCGTGCTGCTGAACTGAGAGCCCCTGAGAAGTTTTCTTTTTTCCCTGGCAGCCCCTCTCAGAGCCGATTGGAGGGTCTGGGGAGGTGGTCTTCCACAAGGGGCAGCGTTCTGGCCCAGGTCTGCAGTTCCAGGTTCCCTCCAGGGAAGGGTGGCAAACTTCTGAGCCAGGAACACCAGGGACTTACCAAAACCACTGTGTGACGGGGACCACCCTGGGTTTCCCTGACCCCTGAGGCCCTGGAACAGGAGCGGGCTCTGCTGTGGACGGGTGTCAGTGTAAAGTCCCAGGGAAGGTTCTGTGCCTGCCCGTCCCAAGCCCATGGAACCTGACAGCGTCACATCCACCCTCCGTGCAGACTTTCCGTGGGCGGTGGGGTCTGTTCAGAAGTGAGACAGTGAGCTACAACTTAGCACACGGTCTCTGAAAGCCAGAAACCCTCCGACATGGGCACAGGTTCGTAGATGGGTGAAAGTGGGTTCTGGTGGCTGAGAAGACAGGAGACCCCTGGCTGTGGACACGGAGCCAACGCAGGGAGGCAGGGGTTTCTGCAACACCTGCTCCAGAAGTGAGCTGTTGACAGACTGTCACCAGGGGTCCGATCAGGGGCCTGGGGGGTGCCTGTAGGGGGGTCCTGTGTTTTGTCTGCTCCCTTCCTCACGCATGGGTGGGAGTGACCCCGTCTCATCCCCCTCACACAGGGCAGTGGTGGGGTGCATGGCCCTTTGAAGAAAAAGCTGAGGACGGAGAAGGACTTTGTGAAGTTCGACGCCGCGTCCTCCCCGAAGCCCCTGTTCTTCAGGAAGGCCAAGGGCAGCATCGCTGCCTCACCGGGCCCCACCCTGCAGGTACTTGCCCCACACTGCTATCCCCCCCACAGTCCCGCCCCAGACTGGCGAGGCTCAGCTGGAACCCCGCTGCCGCACCCTGACCTCACCCCCCTGCAGTCAGCCTCTAGCTCCTGCTGCTGTCCACGGCGTGCGGGCCCCCGTTCGGGGAGTCAGGCTGGCCTGAGGCAGACTGGAGGCTTGGCCAGGGGACTTGAGGTGCAGTCGGTGATGCTGTTGTACATCAGCAGGACATGGAGGTCATCCTCGAATTCACGCGAACGAGCAGTGAGGGGGGAGGGCAGAGACTTTGGAGAGCCAAGGTCTGTAGGTCTGCCCAGGACATATGGGGAGGGCGGGAGGGGTCCCAGTGGTGGGAGGGGGCGTGGCTGTTCTCGGGTCAGCAAAGCAGGGCCAGCTCTGCCGAGTGCTCCTCGGAGTGAGCAAGTCCAGGCCAGGCTGCTGGGCTGCGTCGTCTGCCTCCAGAAGACACAGGTCCTGGTGGAGCCATCAAGATGGGCATGCGTGTTTGGCTGGCCCTGCCAGGGCAGCCACAGCAGGTGGACATTTAAATAGCACCCACTCAGATACTTCCCTGGTGACCCAGTGGTTAAGACTCTCGCTCTCAATGCATGGGGCACGGGTTTGATCCCTAGAGAGGGAACTAAGATCCTGCATGCCCCACGATACAGCCAAAAAAATTAAGATAACCAGCACCCACTTGAACCAGCAGAGTGACTACTGTCTGTGTTAATATTTGTGTGTTCTTTTAAGGCGTTTTGGGGATATTTGTTCAGTGACTCAAGACTTGTGCAAGCCAAGTTTCTGTCCTAAAACGGTGATGTTAAAGCAAAAATGGTGGACAGAACTATGGAGTTCTAAGGAGCCTGTCAGGGTGCTTCAAGGTGCAGAATGGGTCCCCTTCCAGAGTCCTTGTCACAGGATGTTGGGACACGCATGTCCATCGCCCACAGAAGCTAGGTTCTCTTACAGGGCGCCCAGTACTCCACTCACAAGATGAACTGTGGGGCCTGGACCAACGTGTTCCCCGGAGGTGTCAACTGTCCTCACTCTGCTCTCTCTCCTCCCGGGACCCCATGACGGGCGGTTCCTGCAGAGCGGGGCTGGCCTGCCAGTGCCATGCCTGGAGGCACCGTGGGTTCTGGGGACAGCTTAGCCACCATCTTTTTACTCCTTGCCCTGCCATTTTTTCCTGTAGTCACAGAGAACCCCGTCCAGCTCCAAGAAGGTGACCTTTGGGTTGAACAGGAACATGACAGCAGGTGAGCATGGGTTAGGGTTAGGTCTGTCTGTGGGTCTCTGTCAGGTTCAGGGAGGGTTGGGGGGGATTGTCTGACTGCTTTTAGTACAGGTGTGATTAGTTTTGTTTCTTGAAAGGAGGAAACCAGGCTTTTTAGGAGTACATAATGAGTTTAGGTCCTGGCTGTGTTAGGGACCACAAGTAAGTACGCGCACACACGTGTGTGTGTGGGTGTGTGGGGGTGGGTGTAGGGACCACAAGTAAGCGTGCGTGCATGTGTATTAGGTCCTCGCTATGTTAGGAGCCACAGTAAACGTGTGTGTATATGTGTGTGGTCCTGGCTGTATTAGGGACCACAGGTAAGTGTGTGTGTGTGTGTGTGTGTGTGTGTGTGTGTGTGTGTGTGTGGTCCTGGCTGTGTTAGGGTGTGTGTGCGCAGAGGGGAGGGACTATCTGAGAAACTGGTTTTTTAGAGCTAGAGAAAACAGGAGGAGTAAATCTGCCACGATGGAAAGGCTCCTCCTGAAATTGTTTAAACCTGGGGTTCATTCCAGACCCAACTCAGGGTTCACCAAGCATCCGTGTTCCATAACTACCCCATGGCCCACCAGTGCCCCATCCAGGTGGCCTTGGGGCATTTTCCATAGAGAAGAAAAGGCATCTGAGGGAAGGAGCCTCACTGGCGGCCCCTGCTCCCGGGCTGAGGGCCCGTGGGAGCCTGCAGGAGGTGGAGCAGCACCAGTGGGCCTGGTGGGCAGACAAGAGGAGTCATGCCCTGTTAACTGTGGCCTGGCTTTCATCCGAGGCAGAGTTCAAGAAGACAGACAAGAGCATCTTGGTCAGTCCCACGGGCCCCTCCCGAGTGGCCTTCAACCCTGAGCAGAGGCCCCTCCATGGAGTGCTGAAGACCCCCACCAGCTCGCCAGCCAGCACCCCTCTGGGCCCCAAGAAGCCGCTGACTGCCATGCCAAAGAGAAGGCCAACAGCTATGGACTTCTTCTAAGACAGTCAGAGTCCTTTTAAAGACTGCTTTTGTACAGAATGTTCTATAAATTATAATGTTTAAAAGGCAGGGGCCTTTGTATTGTTTTTATAAATTCCCATGAATTGTGTGTACGGGGCTCTGGGTGAGCCTCAGCTCTGCTCCCTGGCCCTGTTGGCAGGGCTGCGGGCAGTGTTCACACATGAGCCGTCCACTCTCCACTGCCCTGACTGCGGGCGCGAGGCCGTGGGGCTGGGAGCTTGCTGCCAGCGCCCCAGCACTGCTGCTGTGCCTGCTGGTGTTCGGGGCTCAGGTTGCCTCCAGCCCCTGCATGTGCAGCTGTGAGCGAGGCTGGTTTTCTGATGGTTTGTGGTCTTAAGAGTCTCTTTTGTTTTTCGAAGCACGATTCCCACGTGGTGTGGGTATTCAGCAGTCCTAGGTAGATGACATAGCTGCATCAGCAATGCTGTGCTTTCTCTCCGCGCACTCAGCGGGGTGACCCTTCAAGTAGGGTATGGGGGGCGGGAGGGGAGAGCCTCTCCCCTCAGGGTCGGCTGCTTCCTCCCTCCCTCTGCCTTGGCCTGGTTTCCTACCTCTAAGCCAGCCTAGGGGGTCCTCCCAGGCACCGCACACCTTCCCGTGTCCAGGTCCTCATGCCCCCTGTGCACCTTGACCCCCATGGCTGGCAGCCCTCGGCAGCAGTCCCATCGTTGACCCCCGCGGCTGGCAGCCCTCAGCAGCACCCCCATCCTGAGTCCCGACTCCTTCCTTCAGAGGCGCAGCTGCCATGTCTAAAGTGTGACTTCCTGCTGGAAGGCCAAAGAAGCAGCCTTTAAGAATTGTCTATGCTTATTTATTTGTTTGTAGCTACCTTTTTTCAGATGTTGAAGCTTGCACTTACAGATTTTTATAAAGTTCTAAATTTAGTTAATTATAGCAGTTGGGGTGGGAAACGCTCAGAATTCAGTTGGAAAAACAGAAACACAGCTTAGAGCAGTGCTGGCCCGGTGGTTGCTCAAGCCCTGGGAAACGGCATCTGCCCCTTGGACCTGGGTGATGGACGGGACACTGATCTGAAACCTTAGGAAAGTCCCTGGGCACCCCCTTCCTGGCCACATATGAGCTGAGTTCTCAGAGGAGGGGGCAAAATCTGGGGAAGACGTACTTTCAGGTCTCAGCTCAATACATCTCAGGCCTCCCCAGCAGAGAACCTCAGTAGTCCCAGCCGCAACTTGGGGTGACAGGGACCCACTGGGGCTGCAGGGCTGGTGTGACTTCAGTTTCCTGGATCACGTGATTAGTATGGGGCCTCTGCCAAGACCCGGGTCCAGTCAGGGGCCCCTGGTGAGGAGGAGGACGTCTGGACTTTGTGCTCGGCCTGCTTCCACGTCAGGCCACGAGGAGGAGATCATTACTGCTGCGCTGTGACTCCAGGCCTCACGCCCCATGTCTCCTTGTGGTTGCATGGTTTTAGTGTGCTGCCTTTGATATAATCTTATCAAAACCAAAACTGATAGTATGCAAAGGTTAGATTTGAACACTCAGATATTTTTAACTTTTTATTTTAAAAAAATGTCTCATTATCCTTGGTCAAATTATTTTTCTAATAGTTCTTATTTCAGTGTTAAAGATGGGTCATGTAGCCAAATGGGCCATCTAATCCTGCGATGTTAAGACCCTTGTCTTAGCGAGGCATCCAGTGGTGAAAATGGCTCGTTGTTCCCCCAGTTGAGGGCGAGAACTTTTCTTCTTCGCTGTGGTGCATCAGCTGTCCGTCAGGCCCTGGGCCTCCTGGGGACCGGGGCCCAGGAGTGACAGTGTGTCTTGGGTTCCATCTGTCTTTCTCTGAACCTGTTCTGACTTACTCCATTTTGTGGGTAAACTCAGTAGGTTTACTGCAGCCTATATTTAATGCATAAATTTGGGCTACAATTTTTAGAAATTCTCATTCCATACATTTAACAAGAATGTATCCATAATGAAAATGTCTTCTGAATGCCAGTTTTCTATTGGGTGCATGTCATTTTCCTAGGTAAATTGCCAGGGACACTTGAACATCCAGAGTATCCCCACCCAGCTGCACCCAGAGAAGTGCCTGCCATTGTCTGTTTTCCCCATGAAGGCCCTCTTCTGCTGGGGATCAGCATGGCCCGCCCTGGACAAGCAGAACACATGTTCCTGGAACAACAGACTCCTCGCTTGTGGTTTGGATCCCAGACATGTCCACAGAGGGTCACTTAACACATAAAATAACACCTGAGACAGCAGTGAGGCACCCCCACCCCTCACACGTGCTCCTGACCTGTCTCAGCAGCCAGACCTGAGTTCTGTCATGAGATGCCTGTGTCCGTCCATTCTTCCAGCGACCAGGGTTTGGAGTCAGGTTCTTGCTGTTGTACATGGAGCTCAGACATCGGCTGAGGTTTCTAGGTTTCCAGGCTGCACTTGATACAGTCAGGGCTCCTGCCCTGCAACCCCGTGGTGAATGCAGGGTCTGTGTCCTCAGGACACCCACGCCTGGCTGTCCACCTCTGCCCACATTTTGTTCCCATCCCTTCACGCAAGTGTGGGCACAGGGCCTGACCTTGGCCCACACACCCCCAAGATGCTACAGGCACCAGGAAGCAGGCTTATTCTGAAGGTGCAGGCTTCTGTCACTTGGCCACCACAACCTAAAGGCGTGCTTAAAACAGCAGTTTTCAGAGTGGGATCTCTGGGGTTCTTAGCATCTCTGCCTACAGCTCTGAGCTTGGAGCTGCCAGCCTATGCCAGTGCCCCCACTCAAAGATTTGTCTGTTTAGCCCTTTCCAGTCCCCTGGGTGCTCAGCACCCCCCTCCCCTCTCCTGTGTGGCAGACAACAGGCCAGCAGGGACCACTCATAGAAGACAGACCAGGAGTTCCCTGGTGGCCCAGTGGTAGGATTCCATAGCTGGTCAGGGAACCAAGATCTTGCAAGCTGCCATATGGTGCAGCCAGAAAAAAAAACCAAGACTGCAAAATGGTTATTTTTCCCTCCAGTACTGACTGTGTTCTCCATAGCAATCACTGGTCCAGCAGATGCTGAGTATCTGCTCGGGAACAGGCCCTCCTCTTCTGCAGCAGCAGTGAGTGAACAGACAGGTAAGATGCACATCTGTGAGCTGGGCACAAGAGCTCCGTGTGGGAAAAATAAAGCTGGGAGTGGATGCAGTGGGAAGATACCCTGGGGGAGGGCAATGCAACCTACTCCATTATTCTTGGCTGGAGAATCTCTGTGGACAGAGGAGCATGGCGGGCTACAGTCCACAGGGTCACAAAGAGTCTGACACGACTGAGCGACTTTAGAAGATTGCTCTCTGAATTCTCAGAAGGTCTCAAAAAGTAGACCTTTTAAGTGTCTACTGAACTTGAAATGTCAAAGAAATGAAAAGATCATCTGCAAGCGGTTGATAATTTTATTACCTGTTGCGAAGGTTAAGTTGAAACCGAGTTAATGTTTAATGTTTTTCTTCATTTACCTGACTGTGCTGGCAAGAAGGTAACATTTGACAGGGACAAAAGAGATGAGCATGTGAAACCGTGGTTGATGAAGAAAGTCTGACCAACAGAAGGAACAGCAGGTACAAAGGCCCCGGTTTCCCTGAACTCCTGGCTCTCTGAATTCAGAGAGAGCTCTGAATCCCCCCTCCTCCAGGGCATCTTCACGACCCAGGGATCGAACCCAGGTTTCCCGTATTGCAGGCAGAGTCTTTACCATCTAAACTACCAGGGAGGCCCAAAAGTTAACACGTGTGAATTCGGAGGGCAGTCTTCCGAAGTTGGCCAGACCCTCTGAATTCAGAGAATGAGGAGCTCAGGGAAGCCACTCCCAGGACAGACCTGACAAGCCGGTCACAATCAGCCGGGAGCTATGCAGAGTCCCTGGATATTGAGCAAAGGGCCCGGGGCAAATTGAGAAGTGTTTCCTCCATAACGCAGACAGAAGCTTGGTGAGAGCAGGGTATTGGAGCTGGGGCCCCGCCCATGCCTCGAGGGCTGGCTTCATTAGGTCAGCAGTCGCCCTGCACGTCCCAGGGGTAGCCCATGTGGCTTAGAGGTAAATAATCCGCCTGCTAATGCAGGAGATGCAGGAGACACAGATTTGATCCCTAGATCAGGAAGATCCCCTGGAGAAGGAAATGGCACTCCAATATTCTTGCCTGGGTAACCCCATGGACAGAGGAGCCTGGCGGGCCGCAGTCAATGGGGTCGCAAAGAGTCGGACACAACTGAGAACACACACCCCGCTGGCTGGGAGTGGAGGAGCTTTTCCTCCTAGACTCCGAAGTAACATTTATCTTCCTGCTTCCGCAGCTCCAGGGAGCAGTGGGAGGGCCAGGGCTGGTGTAGGTGCTCTGGGGGGTCACACCTTCTAAAACTCAGACAGAGGGGGCTCTGCCACTCGGTGTAAAAGCCTTGGTCTCCCTCCAGCCCCAGGAGGTGTAGGAGCTACTTCCTGGAAGCTCTCTCTCCTACCAGACTCTGGTCCCCAGCTTCCTGGCAGGTCCTCCGTGATGCGTCCCCATCAGAGACAAGGAAGTGGGGCCTGGAGACGCACGTGCAGAGCAGGGGTCTCCTCCCAGGTCACTCATCTGCAGAGCTGTGGTTCCATCCAGTCACCCCACACCGCCAACCCCCAACAGCGTAGACCCCAGACCCACTGAGTCAGCCCCAGTGGGCTCGAGCTCGCTGGGAGGCACCAGTGCAAAGAGCAGCATCAGCCCCAGGCCCTCGAAACAGAAGATCAACAAACACACTGACCTGAGTCGACCCTGGCTGCAAACCCACAAAAGCAAAGTGGTTTTCCTCAGCTCTGCGTCCACCAGGTCCAGGCCGGAGAAATCCCGCCAGCACCCTTGACCTTCCTTTCAGCCTTTTAAGTTTCTGAGCAACATGAGATAAAGGTCCTTTGACTTTGGCTGCCTAAGTCAGGCACTGAAGTGCTAAGTAACTTCAGTTGTGTCTGACTCCTTGTGAACCCATGAGCTGCAGCCCACCGGGCTCCTCTGTCCATGGAATTCTCCAGGCAAGAATACTAGAGGGGGTTCCCATGCCCTCCTCCAGGGGATCT